AGTCTCAGAATGCACCTTTCTTTGAACATGTGTTTCTAAATAAAACTGGGCAAGAGACTAGTAATAATAAATTATCTCATGATACTATTACTAGTTAGGATCAATAACATGATCAAGAACAAGAGCAAGAGATAGATTAAAATAAGGAAGAGGAACTTAGGCGTAATAAACGTGCTAGAACCTCAAAATCTTTTGGTCCAGATTTTCTAACATTTTTGTTAGAAAATGAGCCCTTAACTTTTAAAGAGGCTATGTCCAGTCCTGAAGCTCCTTTATGGAAAGAAGCTGTCAATAGTGATGTTGAATCCATCCTGCAAAATAACACTTGGGAATTGGTGGATTTGCCACCAGGTTGTAAACCTCTTGGGTACAAGTGGATTTCTAAAAGAAAAATGAAAGCGGATGGATCAATTGATAAATACAAGGTTAGACTTGTGGTCAAAGGATTTAGACAAAAGAAATTCTTGATTACTTTGACACATACTCACTGGTTACTAGAATAATATCCATTAGAATGCTTATTGCTATTGCATCGTTGTACAATCTACAAATTCATCAAATGGATGTGAAAATCGCTTTCTTAAATGGTGAGTTAGATGAAAACATTTACATGGAACAACCTGAAGGATTTTCTGTTCCAGGAAAAGAAAAGAAAGTGTGTAAATTGGTTAAATCATTATATGGTTTAAAACAAGCGCCAAAGAAATGACATGTGAAATTTGACAAGGCAATGATGTTAAATAGATTAAAAATTAATGAGTGTGACAAATGTGTTTATATTAAAAACACAGACAAATGTTATGTTATAGTATGTTATTATGTGGATGACATGCTCATCATAGGTAGTAATAATGACATGATTAAAACTATCAAGAAAATGTTCAATAAACATTTTGAAATAAAGGACATGGGCATTGCTGATGTAATTCTTGGTATGAAAATTACCAAAACATCAGAAGGTTATGCTTTGTCACAATCTCATTACATTGAGAAAATACTTGACAAATTTAGCAAAGAGAATGATCATCTTGTTAGAACACCTGTAGATGTTAATTTGTTTCTTTCTAAGAATGTACAGGAAAGTATTTCTCACTTAGAGTATCCCCAAATTATTGGAAGCTTAATGTACTTGATGAACTGTACTCGCTCGGATATAGCTTATGCAGTAAGTAAATTAAGTAGACATACGAGTAATCCGGGAGTAGAACACTGGAAAGCAATTGTAAGGGTTCTAAGATATCTCCGATTTACTCGTAACATTGAGTTGAATTATACTAGATATCCAGTAGTACTTGAAGGATACTGTGATGCAAACTGGATATCGGATACTAGAGACTTAAAATCCACCAGTGGGTATGTCTTTACTCTTAATAGTGCGGCTATATCTTGGAAATCTTCCAAACAGACTTGCATAGCTAGGTCTACTATGGAATCAGAATTCATAGCTTTAGATAAAACTGGGGAAGAAGTAGAATGGCTTCACCACTTCCTTGAAGATATTCCAATGTGACCAAAACTGGTGCCTGCTATATGCATACATTGTGATAGTCAATCAGCAATAGGTAAAGCACAGAGTCATATGTATAATAGTAAGTCACGACACATTCGTCGTTGACATAACACCGTGAGACAACTACTCTCTAATGGAATTATTTCCATTGAATATGTGAAGTCTAAAGACAACATAGCGGATCCACTAACCGAAGGGTTAGGAAAAGAGTTAGTTAAAAATTCATCGAGGAGAATGGGACTTAAGCCTATTAAATAAGAGTTACCACAACGGCAACCCAACATAGTTGACTGGAGATCCCAAGATCTAGGTTCAAATGGACAATTGAGTTGTGAATGACTTAGAAGGATCATTGAGGAGTCAAACTTCTACCCATTTCTAGATGAAATAGTGATGTCTGCAGCGTTTTAGGGTAAGTAAAATTTTAATGATTCTTATATCTAGGTAAACCTAGTAGAGTATGGCAGGATGCTCTTCATAAGAATCACCTATGTGAGTGTGAACTGGGCCGGTTCTATGAGATTTGTAAAGTGCTACAATTCTCTAGAGCACTCGTGAAAGACTAGGTTGTTTAGGGCCAAAATGAACACAATAGTGAAAACTAAACTGTGTCCAGGGATATACTGTGTGAGTTCTATTGTCTTGATTTACACAAATGGCTGCAACAGTTCAAGACATCATATTCACTGGTTAGCTAGTAAATCCGATAGTGTTTTATAAGGGATGGTTCAAAGCCAAAAGCTACCTATCCTTTTCAAAATATTTTTAATATATGTATTTTCTGTAATTAGATCATGTTGTTACATTTTCTCTCCGTTAAATTCCATTCATGTGGAGGATTGTTGGAAATAATGGTTCTTATAGGTTTATTTTGGGCCAACTTTGAGCCCAAAATTAAGTGAGCCCCAAACGTCTTTTGAGGTGGGTCCAAAGAGGTGACGTGTTCCTTACCGCATGGCAAGTAACATGGTAAAGACGGTTCATCAAAACCATTTATGAATAAATGAGAAGTTAACGTCGTTTTCGGGTTCGTGGAATGGACATTTAAAGAAGTAAAATGTAGGTTTTCTTGAAATGGTTATCCCACATTGAAACATTAAGGTGCCGTTTGGTAACAATTACGTTTTCAGTTTTCTGTTTATATTTACAAAAATTTTAAAAACTCAAATAAAAACTTGTTTGGTAAATTTTTGATTTTATAAATCAATGGTCACAGTTTATAAATTTGGTCAAAAAATGTAAACTCAAAAAATGAGTTTACGTTTTGAGTTTTTTTTTTTTTTTTACCACCCAACACTAGCCACCACCCGTCACCATTTTCCACCACCGTCTTCCGCCACCACCACCCACCAGCCACCACCAGAACACGCCACCTGCACACACTCGCCACACACACTACCCCTCGCCACCGCCCTAACCCACCTGCCACGCTACCCTACCAACCACCCACCTGCCACCACACGCCACCATCCCACCACACTGCTACTACTATCCACCGCCCGCACCAACCCGACACCACACTCACCACCACTTACCACCACACCCACCACCACCACCGCCACCTACCTGCTACCACCACTACCATCACCCACCATCCCAACCTGCCGCCACCACCACACCACCACCAACCCACTCGCTACTACCCACCACCTGCCATCGCAGCCACCCACCCGCCACTACCGTACCATACCCCACCCGCCATCGCCACCTCACGCCACCCATCACCCTTGCCACCACCCCACCACCACCCATTCGCTACCACCCACCACCCGCCCGTCACACCCACCCACTACCACCCGTCATCGCCACCTACCTGCCACCCGCCACCACCACCACCACCACCACCACCACTCCTACCACACACCACCGCCACCGTCATCTACCACCCTACCTACTACCCGCCATCCTGCCACACCAATCCACCACTCGTCACCACCACCACTACACCACCCATCGCACCACCCACCACCCCGCCCATCCACCACCCACCCACTACCACCCCCCCACTCACCCGCTCGTCACCATTTCCACACCGTCTTCCACCGCACCACTCGTCTCCACCCACCCCCTACCATTTTCTCACTCTTTTTTAATATTTTAAATTTTTTAAAATATTGTTGTTAAACCAAACGCGTTTGTAGTTTTATATTTTTTTAAAAAAAATAAAAACCAGTTTTAAAATTTTTGTAAAAATAATAAACTGAAAACGTAAACGTTACCAAATAGGCCGTAAGAAGAGTTTGTGTATGTAATAATAACTCTAGTGGAACACTTGGGTTGGGTCCCAAGGGGCACCCCAGTAGTTAGATAAGTGGGGACAGTTGAAGAACACATATGGGAATCTTAGCTCAAACACTACAACCCTAAAAAAATAAAATTAAGAAATTTTTTAAATATTAAAAAAATAAATCCAAAAAATTTCAAAATACAATTCAAAACTCAAAATACAACTCAAAACTCTTTTCAAAATTTATAACCAAACAAATTTTCTCTTTTTAAAACTCAATTCAAAACTCATAACTCAAAATACGACTCTACACGGAAATCATGATTCCAAAAATATTTTTATAAAAAATAAAAATATTTTTTTTTTGAACTTTTTCTTTTAAAATAGAATTTTGAAAAAAGTTTTGAATTGAATTCTAAGTTGCGTATTTAGTTATGAGTTTTGAAATTAATTTTTAATTGAGTTTGGAATAATTTTAAATTTTTTGTTTAGTTATAAATTTTGAAAAGTGATTTGAAAATTTTACTTTGAAATCATGATTCCAGGCACAGCCTTAATTTTCTAACGAAACTTTCATTGAATTTCTTAAATACATGAATTGGCCTATTAATATCATGTTAATCTGACTCTAGGTGTTTTGAAAAAATGATTAAAAATTGCTTTTGATTTTTTTTTGATTTTTTTGTGAGAGATGAAAATGAATTAAAAGCTGAGACGTGACTTTTAACCCTCTATAAAAGCAAGAAATATTTGATACATTCGCACAAAAAGTTTTGAAAAAGGTATAAATGAAGAGTTGATGAGCTAATATCAAGCTCACATAAATAATAGATGACTTTAATGACGATTTAAATAGAATTCATGAAGATGAGTATGATGTGTACAAGTACAGGGGTTTTGAAAAAACTAAAACAAAAACCCAAAAGATAAAAAAATAAAAATGAAGAAACAATAATGCTATCATTTTAATTTTTTTTTTTTTTTTGCTGAGTGACCAAGAGACCAAATTACCAATATATGTTTTTTGATCGGCAAAGAAAAATTGTCGCAGGCTTTGTTTTGTCAAATAAGGAATGGAGAGAGAGAGAGAGAGAGAGAGAGAGCAGCGCAGGTTAGGAAGATACCGTCTCTGAGAAACAAGAATCAAGAAGGAAGAGAATTCCAAGGAGAGCTGTAGCAATAAAATTCCACCGCAACCTTGAACTCGTTCTCTCTGTGACTTCAATCAAAGCACAAAAGCAAAAGGAAACTTTTAATCTTTTGTTTTCTCTGCACACAACACCAATAATCAAACTATCAAATGCGCTTTCAATAAATATGGAAATCTTAACGATCTCAGCGGCAAAACATCCCTCACCGCACAAAGAACTTCGTAACACTTTCTCGGGAAAACAAATGTCACACTTTCTCGGAAAAAGAGGGAGTTGATAGTTCAACTACATCAATGTTTTAAATACTCAGAATCTCCTTAAGATTGTTGAAACGTATGCAATGTGAAATAAAACAGCTGCCCTTCGCTCCTTTTATCTTCCAAAAATAGCTCTCAGTTGTGGTTGTGAATGAAGTCAAATCTCAGCCATTCTTTCACTATGACCCCAAAAAAAAAAAAAAATGCATACATTAATTAAGAACTATATCAATCAGGATGGAACCAAAATTTTATCCTCGAAGAGGTCAAAGACAAATAAAAAATATTCATCATATACATATGTATGTATATATGTACTCAATTGTTAGAACAATCTTCTCTGTGTAAAATAAATAAATTGAAACCAAGTCAAACAAATAAAATAAATTTCTACCGAACCGAATGAATAATAAAAAGATCAAGTCGAGTGTGTGACATTCTATCCTTAAGACAGATTCGTCCCGCTACAGTGCTTACAGATAAATGGCATTTATCTCCCAAGATATAATGATCTTCACAAATTGTAGTAGCACTCCAAACAATTTGTACAGCGAACAAAACCTGTGTTCTAAACTCTCTGAATTTTTCTCTAGAATAACATGAAAAATAATGCAAACAAATAAAAATCTGGACAGCAAGAAATGTATCTTTCAAACTGTTTTTACCAGATATCGAACTGCTGGAACAATGCTGTATTTATAGGAAAAATAAACTGCCAAACAGGTGCAGTTTTTGAACTGAACAGGTATGTTTCAAATGAACAGGTGCAAACACTATTTGAACAGATAATTGCTTAAATTTCAACAGATCTACTAGATAGTTTGATTTGTTCGAACTGTACAGATTTAAATATGTGTAACTGCAGTAGATTCTACAGTTTCAAAACTGTAAAATAGTTTGAATCTGTTTAGGAATTTCAGATTGAAGGTGGTAAAATTTGGACAGAAAATTAATTTCAATTTTGGCCACAAATTGGAATTTAATTTCATTAAGAATTTCTAGAAAAAATTAAAATAATTTTATCAAAAAAATTAATATTATAACCGACCCGACCCATAACCCATACCCGCGCCCGGCACGGCTCAACTTGGTCGGACCGACGACGGCGGGCGGCACGCGCGCACGT